TATTTCAGTCTCTCCCAACCCTATATCGTTAGGGTGAATCAAAGTGAAAACCCACTTACCGATTTGCCGTAACAATAGATTATAATTTAATATAAATAAAGTTTATTTAAAGTTATATTATATTTATTTATTAATATATATAATTTTCAAGTATTATTATATATATTATAAATATATATTTTATAAATAATAAATTATTTGTCTTCTAATTATATTCTTATAAAAAGATATGATCTTTCTATAATTACAGTTATTTTTTTTATAGTCATCTTTTTTGAGTTTTTCAGTTACTAATTAACTATAATCAAAAAAATCTCTTTATAATCACACTTCATTTTAGTCATATAATTTTCTTTCTCAAATATGATAACTATAGAAAGATCTGATTATATTTATAAAAATAAGTTATTATTTTTATTTTTATATTAAATATTTATTTTTTAGCAAATATTTTTATTTTATGTTAAATAAAAATAAAATTTATATTTTAATATATAATTATTTTAAATTTAAATTTAATAAAATAATTTTTTAGATTAAATATGAATAACTAAAAATATATTATTATATTTATTTAATATAAAATCAAAAATATTTTTCTTTTAATATATATTTTTCAGAATAGTATAGTTTTTTATATTAATATTTTTATAAATAAACTGAAAAAAGCTTAGAATATTATTTTTTATAATAATAGAAATAAAGATAATTTTATAATATATAAATATTAACACAAATAGTTTTTGAATAATTGCTAATCTGTAATAATAAATCATATTTATAACAGTTAATTAAATAAATATTAATTATTTTTTAAATAATTTATTTTTGATTTGAATTTTTAAATTTATATTTAAAATTATTTTATAAAATTTTATTATTTTTGAATTTTAATTTACTTTAGTTTTATAATAGTGATAATGAGCAAATTATCTTATTAAAAAGTTTGGTTGAACTAGGGAAATACTATATATTTGACGAAATTAAAAAATAAAGTGCGATTATTGCAAATTATCTTAAACCAAACATAACTTAAATAAAAATGATGAATTTAATAAAATAAAAATACAATAAGAACTATGGAAATTTTTATCATTTTTATCTCAAATCTATAAAGCAATTTGCTTATTTTATTTAATTTTATTTATTAATTTTCAAAAATTATTAAGATAATGGATGGTAGAAAAAATACGTGTGAGAGCAACAAAAATAAATTATTAGTTTCGTCAAACTATGTACCTGTATACTCTCTAAATGCGCATTAAAAACGTGAATTTTAGAAAGATAAAGAATATGAATGAAGTAATATATGTGTAAATGTATATTTAGTAATTATTATTTTTAAACAATAGTTCTTATTATGTTGGAGGTGTTTTTCTAAAGAACACATGATATCTTTTCATTGAACTTAATCGTGTGTATATTGAAATCTGTTTTGCATGAAATAAGTTCGTTTGGTATTTATAAGACCTAAATGTTTAAATTACGTAAGTTTTCAATATGAATGGCATTTGAATATTGCTTAGTGTTGAGCTACCTTTTGAAAAGTTCTTTTCATTTCTGCTTTTAATTTAATACATCTTTAATTTTTTATTCTTTCAAGAGTTACAGTACTGAATATGCAAGTGTTTAGTTTCGGGAAAAGGAGATAAAATCATCAAGTACCTCAGTAGTTAATAATAAAATCCTAGCATTTTCAAAAATAATTTGCGCCCAAAAACGATGTTTATATCTTAAATATACTCCATCATATATGTGCAATACAAAGTACATGTATATATCATGACTTTGATCATTCCAAAAAATATAAATATCTGTATGACTTTTCGTTCAGCACTTCTAGACTCATAAGAAAGTCCGCATTTTCTTGATTCGATATCTAAATTAGCACGACGGGTAAGTTCAAAGTCACCAATGCACAAATTTATCTGTGAATTTTTTTAAAATCTCCGATTGCATCATTTTAATTTTCCGCAATTAACGTTAAATTCAAAAAGTTAGAGATGTCGTACTAACTTGATTATGTCTTACGTCATACCCGATACGGAAGACAAAGAAAATTATGTAATCATTAATGAATATATAAAACACGTGCAAGTTAGCGTTAACATCTACATGTGCTTCATTGGTGCGTGTACATGTAAACGGAAATATGTATCATTCTGCCGCCAATTGGATTAGGTACATGCAGTACATGTATTCAAATGTATATGTAGGGAACATTTGGATGGATCATCAATTTATCAGTCCCTATAATTAATCACCATCATCTTTTCCTTAGTCTTTAATATATTTTAAAAAAATGCAGCTCGCAGAGACTTAAAGGTTTGCTCTGCTAATTCTCTGAATTTGTGCATTCAAGTAACCGGGATTTGGCTTATAATGCACAGTACTTAATTAAAGGCAAGCATTATTCATAATGGAATAAAAACAATTTATTGGTTATATTATTCTAAGGTTTTTGGAGGCTTACTATCTGTTTTTTCCAGCTAAAAAATCACACTTATATGTTAGCTATAAAACAGGGTATTAATAATTGAGCAGATAATTTGACGAAAAAATGATTGTTAGCGAAAATTAGTACTACGAGCTCGTGAAAATCCGTCGAATTTTCGATAAACGGCTATTTTGTATTTGTGCGAGATACACAAATAGATCGTCATGCATACGTATTTAAACTTTTTGATTAGATATTAATTTTTTAATTTTCAAAAAATCCTTTTTAGTTAATTATTATTAAAAAGCCAAAAAATACAATCATTCCGATAATGTATTATCTTCTTGTGTGAAAGCGAAAGCCAGTAGCTACAAAAATATCACAAATACGATTTTCTTAATGCCGCGCAAAACTTTGAGATAGAGAAGGCTTGGTCAAAATGGATAATCCTGAAAAATTGGACATATGTGATAGGATAATTTGGGGGTATTAAAATATCTAATTGATATATAATACCAATGTTTCTGAAAAAAGGAATCTTAACAAATTATATTCTCATATAAATAAGACCATTTTAACTGGTCAAATGAGATTTATGAGGTCATTTTGAGGTAATTGTGAGGTCATTTCGAGGTCATTGTCCAACATTGATTATGTCCTTTATAGGAATTGGCGCTTCTAAACGAAATTTTTTTTTAGAAAACCTTCAAAATAAACGTTATCATATCACGATGGCTTTAGAAATGTCTCACATGCTATTGCAATTACAAGCACACATATGCATTCACGTAAGGACTAAATGCTTGATAGACCATTATGATCAATATTATTTTCATAATATTTTTGAGCTGCGATCTTTTCAATTTTTCATACACAACTCGTCATAATCACTGGCCACTTTCCAGCGGCGAGCCGTGGCACGGCAGGATTATCGCTCGTTTCTTGAACTCTTGCTTAATATTAAATCTGACTCTTTATTTGTTCTCGTACAATTCTAATAATTTATATCATCTGATGATTATTTTATTAATTGTTTTATATCATAAAATTTAGCAATTATTGAGGTTTTTTATTTTTTAAATAATTAAAAATATAAAATCATCAAAGTGGAAATTGTAACAACGTTAATAAACAATTTTATGCATGTATACTCCCTCTTTATACATGTAGTTGTGGTCCGTGCGGTGTAACGTATCTTCATATGATGCTCGATAGTCGTGAGATACGTTAATGCGTTCCGTTAGTGTTATTGCATATATGCATAGAAAAGTGTTATCTGTTTGATTAGACAAATAAAGAATAGTTAACTCTTTTTTAATAACTTGAAGGTGTTCTATGTATTTCTAATTATATTGTTCTTAGAACAATAAATTTAACCAATCTGCAACCTTTATCTTTGTGAAATTATTCTTAGAAAAAAATTGCCTCCGACAAAATTCCATTCATTTTGTTCTTCCAACATAGCTTTATAATGAGCGAAAGTGAGATAAATAACTCTAATGGTGATATTGATATAGTGAAAAAAAGTTTGGTGGTTGTGGGTTTGGTAATAAGTTCACTATCTAGCTGTTTCTTATTGTCTCAAGTCAAAAACAATTACACTAAGCTCAAGCTTGCATGGTAAACTAAAGATATTTTGAAATTCAATTAGGAATTCAAATTAAAATAAAAACTAATTAGATATATTTATTTATACAAGTCTTATTTGTGATCTATCCATAGTAGCACTCGCAATTATAAATGTTATGCGATTCTTTCAAAACAGTATAACATCAAACAACTACTGGTTATTAGTCGCACTCGAAAACACAATCTACACCACAATGCTTGTAATCTTTATTCTAAAAATGGGCCGACAATTCTACCAAAATATTCACTGGAACACAATGATGTTTAAACTGACAATAGTCGGTCTAATACTTTTCAATGTTCTAAATCTCACTACCACCGTTTTCTTAATAAATGACATTATCAAACAACCACGATACATTATTTGGGTGGTGAAAATGATTGCTGGTGCATTGACAACAATGTTGGCGTTTGCGTACACTTTTAGCCCGGTGATAATTTTACATTGGAACCCGAAAACTCCGAAACTACAAAAAACAGGACATATTAATTCGTTGGATGCGGCTTCGGCTACTTGGTACCTTGTATCGTTGACCTGTCTGTCAGTTCTATATTTGATATTATATATTATGTGCCTGTTTAACGAACGTACTCAACAGTATTTGCCATTAACGACGGCAATCGATTCAATTCTACGGAGTATAATCACATTTGTTCTTGGCTCGCCGCCACCGAAACGTTTTATCGATGCTACAAGAGCCTTCGTTATAAATCGACGGCCGTTGAATGGCGCAATTCGTGATCGTGGTGTTCTGAGCACTGGAATGATGGGAGGAGACCTTTATACGGATAACACATAGCCTATAATTCAACATGTTTATAATCACCATCCTATCTAATAATAATAATATCTAAAACCTCATATCTTGTTGGATTGATGTCTGACATAAAATTTTTTAAGCGTAAGTCTATACATTTAATGTATTTAGAATTCTAACTACAAAATTTTCTTTAAAATTTTATATAAAGAAAATAATAAGTTTATACATGATCAACGAAACTATTTTAGTAGAATGTATTTTTATTCTGGTAAAAAGTTCATGTATTTCAATACTAAAAATAATTTATGATAATAACAAGTGGTTCTTCCTTAAATGATATGGACAAATAAAGACATAGTTTGTGTCATTGTATTTTAAATAAAAAAAATATAAATATACCTCTAAATGCACCCTCCTTCATAGCGCATTTATAGAAAATAAGCTTTGGACTGAATCATAAAATACATTTATGAAGGGCGCGTTTAGTATTGAGTCAACAATGAAATTTGTTTTCAGGATCAATCAAATTTTATCTTTACCGTTACAATTGTTTTAGGAAGTCTTCTATATATTAAGGAGCTTTCTAAACCACAAAATGGCAATTCAACTTACTATAATAACATTCAAAGTATTTCTCAAAAGTGAAATGATCAATTAACAATATCTGAACAATTAAATTACTAGTCTTAGCATATTAGTGTGCTTACAAAACGGTTTTGCATCAATGAAGTTTGATTATTTATTCTAAAAGTTTGCTTATATAAGTGAAAATTCCATTTATAAAAGTGTTCAAATAAGTTGATTTATGCACAAAGTGTGTATTGGATTGATATCGTTAATACAGAGATCGAGTTAAATGTACGTACAGTGTATGGTAAACTATAACGATAAACAAATTCATGTAATCAATGGTTAACATTAATGTTAATGCAGAATCGACGAAAATAAAAATTTGAACTTGAGTATTATATTTATTTTCAAGATTTTAAATAATATTTTATTCATTCTATACAAGTCAACTCAAAAAGAGGAAATCTAATGCATGATTATATTAAGCATCATATTGTAATTATTTTTCTACACTTATAGATTATTTCAATTTTATAAAGCTGAATGATTTAACAGAAATAAAATATCAACAATCTAATAAAGAATGTATAAAAATATGGCTTTGAAATTTTCTCGGATAAATTCTTTTTAAAGTTTTACAAATTATGAATACATGTATCTTACAAATATTGTGGATCATTGTTGCGAACAAGATAATTCAAAATACTTAAATTATTATATGTATATGGTTCAAAAAGATTATAAATACATGTAAAATAAAAATGAGCCTTGGCTATTATTGCCGAGTTTAGATTATAAAAATTATCTAATCAAGAAATTTGTGAGAACGTACATGTCAATTAATAAATATACTTTTTTAATTATAAATGTTTTAAATATATTAAGATTTATATTATTATTTATTTAGAATTTAAATAAAATAAAGATAATATTATAATAAATAATATATTATTAAATTATAATAATTATACTATTTATTTTTATTAAAATAATTAATAAATAATTAGAATATTATAAAGCAAGTATTTAAAAGATCAATTTTAATTTTAATTTAGTAAAATTGTACTTTTTATATTTAATAATAATTATAATATATTTATTAAATATTCTTATAATTTTATATATAAATAAATAATTTTTATTGAATTATATTTTTTTTAGATTAAATTTTTATTTTATACTATTTATATTATAGTTTATTTTTTATATTATGCTATTTATATTATAGTTTATTTTTTATATTATATTTTATAAAGATCAATTTTATTCTAAATATATAAATAATTATTGTGACAGATTAAAATGAAATTTTCTCTATTTTAATATGAAAATTTCATATTTTTTTAGAGGCAATTTTCTAGGTTTTTTTTGGAATTTGAGTTAGGATTTAGGGTAACTTTTGTTAATAGAAAAGTATATATGGATTTCAGAGATATTAAAAGAGGATTCAAAAAGATCCAATTTCATTTTAATCCAATTTTATTTTAATTTGTCACAACTATTATATATTAAATTAATATTTATATATATTATTATATAAATAATTATTATATATTTT